AACCAATAAGGACAGGGTGATGACATTCAGAACCAACAAGCACAGGGTGGTGACGTTCAGAACCAACAAGCACAGGGTGGTGACATTCAGAACCAGCAAGGACAGGGTGGAAACGTTCAGAACCAAAAAGGACAGGGTGGTGACATTCAGAACCAAAAAGCACAGAGTGGTGACATTCAGAACCAGCAAGGACAGGGTGGTGACATTCAGAACCAACAAGCACAGGGTGGTGACGTTCAGAACCAGCAAGGACAGGGTGGTGACATTCAGAACCAACAAGCACAGGGTGGTGACGTTCAAAACCCACAAGGACAGGGTGTGACATTCAGAACCAACAAGCACAGGGTGTGACATTCAGAACCAAAAAGGACAGGGTCGTGACATTCAGAACCAACAAGCACAGGGTCGTGATGTTCAGAACCAACATAACACAGGGTCCTGACGTTCAGAACCAACATAACATAGGGTGGTGACGTTCAGAACCAACATAAGACAGGGTGTGACATTCAGAACCAACAAGCACACGGTGGTGACGTTCAGAACCAACAAGCACAGGGTGGTGATGTTCAGAACCAAAAAGGACAGGGTGGTGACATTCAGAACCAACAAGCACAGGGTGGTGATGTTCAGAACCAACATAACACAGGGTCGTGACGTTCAGGACCAACATAACACAGGGTGGTAATGTTCAGCACGCGGGACTGGGAATTACTTTCATGCTCCCCATTGAGCTTTTCTGCACAGCAGTTTTGGCACCTTTCTCAATGAGAGCTACTTTTATACTCAGATGTGTAAAATGTACAAAGTGAAAATTCCAAAAGTAACATCCAGGGCAACCGCAGCCCCATTGTGTGAGCCCAGCAACCTGCCGCTGCCCCGGGGAAGACCAAGGCAGCTGCATGGGTGTGCGTTCCTGGCATGCTTGTGCAGCCCTGGGCACGTCACTTCTTCCCCCCGCATGGAGGCCTCCTCAGCTAGAAAACAAGAAGTTTGAACAAAATAATCTGAAGGTTTCCTCCCTGCCCTAAAATAGTACCTTTTAATCATATTTTATTTAAATAACTGAAATGTTCAAAGGATGAACACAGATTTAATCTCAGACAGATGCTCTCAAGGGTCATTTCCAGAGTGGCTGCTAATTTTGCTCCCAACCCTACATGGAGAGTGGTGAGCAGGTGCCTGGGTCCAGAATAATCATATGCCATTGACACTCCCTTTATTAAGGTGGCCGTGAAATTCTATGGCCACCAGAATTGCTTTCTAGTTGGAAATTTGCCCTCCTGTCCTTGGAAAGTTATACCCTAAAGTGGGTAATGTAATAAATTTGACTTAATTTCACTGCCCTGCAGTGCAGACTCTGAAAGAAGCAGCTGAATTTGTCTGTGGGCAAGTGCTTAAGAACAACACTAGAGTCACCAGAACATCCTTCCCCGGAATACGAAAGAGGAGGCAGGGACACCAGGAAGGACCCAGCCTCTCTAAGACCCCAGAAGAAGGAAACGACATTCACGTAGTGCTGGAACATGGCCCGTATTTCACCATTTAATCCTCACAACAATCCCCTAAGGGAACACTTATCACCTCCACTTTATAGAGAAGGACATTTAAGAATGGCAAGATTACAACTTGGAGAACTGTGTTCCCTTGAAATATCTCACCTGTGTAATGCTCTCCAAAATAAGTCCCATTTGTTTAAAAAAAAAAAAAAGTAAAGATCATGCTAAATTCTAAGTATCAGGCTATCTTGCTAGCTTCCTTAAAACTGTGTGCTTTTCATTGCTTATAAAAAAAAGTATGCCTCTTTTAACAAAATAAGTGGTTATTTTTACTAAGAATCAAGCGATATGAATGGAACAAGCGAATGGTCAATGCTATAGACCTTGTAAGTGTCTATCAGGTACAAAAATGGTGAGAGCATAGGGCAAATTTTTTAATTTAGCATCATAATTTCATCAATATCATATGACTTTAACTTTCTCTGATACCCATCTTTCCAAATCCCCCAATACAAAAGGAAAGTGAAAAGTTTTAATAAGTAATTGCACAGTGCACACCAAAGATGACATCTTCCTACACGTGGCCTCAGAATATTTACTAACTTCTGACACTTGGGTACTTAAGTGCACTGACAAGTATGACAAACTCACACAGTAGATTCTAACCTCAAGAGCAACATGTCTTGGCTGGACACTGTGGCTTGTGCCTGTAATCCAAGCACTCTGGGAGGCTAAGGCAGGTGGATTTCTTGAGCTCAGGAGTTCAAGACCAGTCTAAACAAGAGCAAGACCCTGTCTCTACTAAAAATAGAAAAACTAGCCTGGCATGGTGAGCACCTATAGTTCCAGCTACTTGGGAGGCTGAGGCAAGAGGATCTCTTGAGCCCAGGAATTTGAGATTGCTGTGAGCTATGATGATGCCACAGCACTCTACCCAGGGCAATAAAGTGAGACTCTGTCTCAAAAAAAAAAAACTTTTTTAAAAGAGCAACATGTCTTTATAGGTATACCCTACTAAGCAATATTTCTGAAAAACTTCTGTTACTCAATAATGACACAGAAATTTTTACCAATTTGCCCAATGTATCCTATCAATAGAAGTTAGACGCACTTACTTCCTTCAACTTTCTCATCTTTGTAGGTTTTCGGGGAACTATATGAATATAACTGCAAAAGAAGAAAGAAAAAAACATAATTAGAAGGTATATATTTAGATAGTTTGAGCTTCTTTAGAGATGATTCTTTTCCAACATTAAAATATACAACCCCACAGCAATTTGGACCTAGAATCAGAAGCCTTCTCAGTGCCGGAATGCACATCAGTACACCATAGCCAGACTACTAGAGAAAGTTTCCAGACCAGGCACCCTCAGCACTGCCTGTAGAAGCTGTGTCTTAAATAACATTGCTTCTCTTGTGTAATTTTAGTAAAAGAGAAACCCCCCAAATCACCTAAATTACAGAAAAAACAAGGCATAAAAAGATCCTACAGAAACACACACTATTTTATTGCTTCAATGTTGCACTTCCAAGAACACACAAATACAGCAGAACCAGGAGACCAATAATTCCTCAGAAACCCAGGGACCTGGTGAGCTCAGGGCACCCTGCAAGTGGCCAGGAAGCCTGATCTGCAGCAGAGACTGGACAGTCACATTCAACCTCCCTCCTGGCTACTTCCAGAGAACAAAGGAGAGACGAAAAAGACATTAGACAAAATAAAAAAGGAAAGGATGAAATGAAATCACTCATGAGAATCAATGCCAAGAGTTTTATGGTGCCACACATTCGTTTAATTCTCACAAAGATACTATGGAATAGATGTCAAACCACCTCTTGTCAAACCACTTTATTGATGAGGAAACTGAGTCTTGGGTTATATAATTTGCTAAATGTTACTCAGGTAGAAACAGCCAGGATTCAATCCTGCCGAGTGAGGCTAGCATCCCCCACCCCAACCAAGCTTTCTCCTTTTCCTGTCACCCACTACTCTCCAGGGCACAAACAGGTGGCGAGGGAGATCGGGGGAGGGGAGCATGGAAGAACCAAGATAGTTTAATTTAAATAGCATTTCCTTTTTCTTTTTTTTTTTTTTTGAGATACAGTCTCTCTCTGTTGCCCTGGCTAAAGTGCTATAGTGATAGCCTAGCTCACAGCAACCTCAAACTCTTGGGCTCAAGCCATCCTTTTTGCCTCAGCTTCCTGAGTAGCTGGGACTACAGGTGCCCACCACTACACCTGGCTAATTGTTTCTACTTTTAGTAGAGACAGGGGTCTCACTCTTGCTCAGGCTGGTCTCAACTCCTGAGCCAAGCAATCCACCTGCCTCAGCCTCCCAATTTAAGGCCAGGCATAAGCCACTACACCCAGCCTTAAAATAGCACTTTAACATTTATGTCTCACAACAAGCTCTTAAGTCAAATAGGACAGTGTTCCTATTAGGATTCAAATTCTCTGGAGTCCCTCCCTGAAACACACATGTCACACATACACAACATCCTTATTTAAACTGTGCTGTGGATAAAGTAATATTAATTCTAGGCTTTCTAGGACATTCATTTTTTTTTTTAAAGTTAGCATATAATAGGGGAAAGCATATGTTAGCATAATAGGGGAAAGATCATGTTCTTCATCTCAAATTAACTTATTCTTGAAAATGCAGGAAAAGTTTGAACAATGGTTGGCTACTGGATAGATATTTGTTTGCTTTCACACAGCCATTCTTCAGAGGGGAGGCCCAGGCTTGTTACTACATCAAATGGTTTCACATCGAAGCTTGTTTGCTGGCAACACTGTTGTGACATGCTTTCCAGCCCATTTCCCTCCTCCTCCTCCCTACCCCCAGAGTCAACTCCAGGAACAAGGCAAGTCCCTTGCCACATTCCCAGGCTCCCTCCTTCCCCCTGGGGTTGCCAAGAATAAGCTTCAGAACAAGGAAGAAAAGTCCCAAGTTTCACAAAACCCCCAAGTTCTCAGTAGATGAACAATGGTGGAAAACTCACCAAGGCTTGCTCAGTAGATGAACAATGGTCGAAAACCTCACCGAGACTTGATTAATTACTGTTGTATAACCATAACCATTGTGATATGAGACGTATCCATTGTCAACCAAAGCTGTATTAATCATTGTTACATGACTGTAACCATCGCTGTATCCATGACTACCCAAGCTGCATCCCCCCTTAACCAGCCATGTTTGGCTTCTGTAATATGCTTGCACAAAACCTACAAAAAGCAACCAACTCCCCTACTTCACTGCTGACTGCCTCTCAAAGCAGCACCCACTGTGGCATGTAAAATAAATTACCAATTAATTATATCTAAGTGGGGGTCTGACTCTATCTTTTCAGGTCATAGGGGGTACCACATTTGGAGGCCCCAGTGAGATAAGACACCCACCTGGGCCCACCGCCACCCGACAGCTCCAGGGGAAGGCCTTGGAGAAATTTCTCTACCCCAAAAGCTCTCAGGCATGTGAATTTTGGGCACAGGTTCCTAAATTTTCCAATTCGGTAAGTCTGTCTGGGTCTCTAGAGAATCTGGGGGAACAATAGGCTAGGCTGGATGCAGCCTGAGACACCTATTCCCGAGGCAGTGAGAGACATCTCCCTGTCTCTCTGGTATAGGTTTGGGTTATTTGTTTCTGTGTTGTTATGTTTGCAACTCCTTATTAGATTGTTTTGATGTTAGCAAATCAAATTGCTATCAAATATTGTTTTGATATTAGTCTTTTTAGACTGCTCGGATTTGCAGGCTAGTCCTGTTCTGGTAATTGCAGTCTTTTATTGAGTTGTCTTGGTTTCTGCAGTCAACTGTACTGGTTCTGATTTGTGTTTCTTTTGTGTGTTTTGAGCTTTGTATAAGTGAGTAAGTGAAAGCGTTAAATGTGATTAGCAGTCTTTTAGACTATTCAGATTTACAGGCTAGTCCTGCTCTGATAATTGCAGTCCTTTATTGGGTTGTCTTGGTTTTTTCAGTCAACTGTACTGGTTCTGGTTTGTGTGTCTTTTGTATGTTTTGAGTTTTGTATAAGTGAGTGAGTGAAAAAGTTAAATGTGATTTCACAACCCATGGCTGGGAAGGCATTTGAGTGGCATTAGTTGGCTCGGCACTTGACTAATTTCTGTCTGTTGATTTCCGTTTGTGTTTTCTGTCCTTTCCACTTGTCATTTTGCTTTATTGGCCTGTTTTTTATAATGCTTGTATTGTAGTTTTTTGTCCGTCAGTTAATGTCCACCTAATAATTTGTTCAAAATAAGACAGGATAATTTTTGAAAATGCTCTTTCAGTAACTTTTTAATTTCAACTAAATTCACCAAGTGCAACAGTGAGAAAGTACACATTTTCTATAAGTGAAACTAACCAGCTTAACAAAGAGAAAGTAGAAATTCCAGATTTTCAACTTTGAGAGCAGACACCTAAATCATAGAGAACAAGAGGTGCAGCCAAATTAACCCTTGCTGCAGTCTTTGTCTAAAAAGGGAGCAAAGGGAGTCCTTGATAAGTTTTTGCTCCCCCTGTTCATCCCTTTATATATTAGTAAATTGTGTAACACCTGTTAGTCAAGATTGTATTTAATTTATCAATTCCAGTGCTTTATTCAGTATCCCTTCAAGGTTCCTTTAGGGAACTCTCTTAGATTACAATCCAGGGAAAGTCTCTGTGTTTTCCCTCCTCTTCTTCTTCCTGTAAACTGTTCACTATCCTTGAGACTGGACATCACTTTTGTTTCTATATTATTTACTTCCTAGTACACATTCAATTTGTGAGTTTACAAATAACCCACTTACATTAAAAATTCTCTCTATAAAGAACGATAGAGACTTTACCTCCTTCATGTTTACATGAACAGAGCTGGAAAATGTTCTTCTTAGCAAAGTATCACAAGAATGGAAGAAAAAATATCCAATGTACACAGCCCTACTATGAAACTAGTTTATAGCTTTCATATGAAAGCTATAACCTTATTACAGCCTAAGAATTTAGGGAGGGGGAGGGGAGCAGGGAGGGATGGATGGGTGGAGGGAGGGTGATTGGAGGGATCACCTCTATGGTTTGTCTTACAAGGGTACAAGTGAATCTTTCTAAAAGTAGAGTATAAACATCTTAACACAATAACTAAGAAAATTGACATAAAGTCTATGTTAACCAGTTTGATGAAAATATTTCAAATTGTATATGAAAACACCACACTGTACCCCATGATTGCATTAATTTACACAGCTATCACTTAATAAAAAAAAAAAAATCTTAAACAATGTGTGCTGTTTAGGAAAAAAAAGTTAATACAAAGTTTATTAAAACTGTTTTTCTAACAGTGGTTGCTATGTTACAAATAACTTTAAGATAAGGTGCCAGCTCTCAGCAAGAGACCCAAGGTCAATTATTCATTTAAAACTAAAAAAAAAAAAGGTCCTCTTTACTTTTAAAAACAGCAACCTGACATCACTCTGGTTGGCATATATTCTGCCGATCCTCAGGTGGTCTCTGAGGGGGGCAGAAAAAAAAAAGCCCCCAAGAGACCAGCTGAAAACCACTCCTAAATTCATCCATAAACTCAGCTCCAGAGGTAAGCCATTTGACATCTATTTTTAGCTAGTGTCTACAAATATTAATTAACTATTAAAGGTATTTTTGTTATGTTTATTTGTTACGAATTGTTGTGAAAAAAATGTAACTGTTAAATTCATTTATTATAATTTATATAGGTTCTTAAGGAAAAACCCCCATGGGAAGGCCAAAAAGACAAAAACTTTAGACAAGGACCCCTAGTTGCCAAGCCATTAGCTTGTCAGAAACTCTTGGAGACATGTTAGTAAAACAACCCAATCAGTGAAGAACTTCAGCCCTACTAACCTGTCCGGGACTCCCATAAATGTAGATCAACACCCGTCATCAGAAACACTGTTGAAATAAAAGCGGGGGTCCAATCAACCCCCAGGGTATTAGATCACTCACAGGCCTGTTAAAAGTGTATAAGAATGTGTTCTGGTTCTGATTCTAAGAGTACAAGAATATAGGAGTAAATGGAGACTATTATCATTTTATAACATTTGTTCAGTGTTTATTAGAAAACTAATCTCAGCCTGAAACAAACAGTCTTAAAAACATTCATAAGGAAATTGCAGATCTTTTCTTTCAAAGGACCTACTTACTCTTATGTGTTC